TTTGTTCAGAGACTATGGTCTTAACCGAGTGGGCCCACCTGTCTGTGTCGTGGGTGGTCACGATTTCCAATGAGGGGTGGACTGCTATCTGCCAATGATCGTTTTTAGGATCGTAGCAAACCGGTAAAATGGGGATTACCGGTGAGAGGGAACGGGCGTCGATGTTTGTTGCGAGAGCCAGCTCCTGAGGTTTGACATCTGCGATTCTGTTGAGGGATAAGGTCCCTTCACCCAGCTCGTTGTTCTGATCCTCAAAGGAATCTCGTTTGCCTCTCTAAAATGGCAATTTTTCTTCTGAGTTCCGTCTTCTGATTTTTCGTTCCCTTGGCTAGATCCAATGCTAGGGAGATCATTTCGTCCTCTTCCTTTCCTTGGTCCTTTTGCTTATCCTTTTCTCCCTCTTTGGAGTCAGGTCTGCCCTTGTCCTCTCTGAGGKAGGAGTTAGGCCATGTGTTTGCTTGTGCTGCTGTATCTTGCAGTTCGGTTTCCATGCATTCTCCCTGATTATCCACGTACTGTTGTGCCACRAATTYTGAAAAARTTATCTCGRGTTGCAGTGATTCRTAGGGRTTTGGGGAGGTCGGGAAACCCCCTSTGTTGCCTGAGGACTCTGAYTTTTTAAGATCACTGATGTGTCTGGCATGAGCGAATCTGATTTCCAGGTCTATCTCCCTCTTTGTTTGGAGAGATTCTATGTATTCAGTTAGCCATCCAACCGAACTGGAGGAGTCTTCTTGGCTCGCTGAGTCTGGAATTTCGTCCGTCATTTCTGAGCTCTTGCCTGGGAGATTCCCATCGGTGTGCATCTCTTCTTCGTTTGACCCAGTCCCCTTTGGATTGTTCTCTTTACTTTTCTTAGGGCCTGTGGCACTTTTCGTTTTTGTTTCTTCCTCGTCTTCCTCATCCTCGTTTCTTGCCTTCCTCTTTGTGGCTCCTTGTTCCCTGGTAGCTGTTTTGGATGATTTGTTCAACGGAAAACCTTTTCTAGTCTGTAAGTTTTCCAAAAATGCTCTCTCAGCTTCTCTCCCCATGCAGTGTACTTCGTCCATGATTTGATTTCTGTGCATGCTCTGCTCCAATTGGAAGGAGGATCCCAGTGTTTGCCTGACGTAATTGTGAGTTGCCTTGTCTTTGCGTTTCCCCCCGCTTGTTTGCCATCTGCTACCGTGTGGGGGGGAAATGTCTGGTTTGCTTGCTGGCTCTGGATTGTCCAAGGTCCACACCCAGGCTGGAATGTCCTTCAGATCATCAAAGACCCATCCTGCATTGGCTGGGTCGTTGATGATCCAGATGCCTTTCATTGCCTCCGCTTCGATCAACATTGACTGGTTGAGTCGTCTGCCCTCTCCCTTGCTTGTGTTGAGGGGGCAGAGAGGGTCATTTCCCTTGTGGCCCTTGATTCTGCATTTGAAGCATATGGGATTGGCCTTTGTGGATACATACACTGTTTGGATGTTCTGCCCGATTCTGAAGAACCATTTGTTTGGCAGGATCGGTGGGTTGCTGGATTTGAGTTCGACGCAAGCAATCCTCGAGTTAGCGCTGGGGGTAAGGAAACCTGGGGCTGAGGATACCCATTCCACGAGGGGGCACTGGGGGAGYGACTTGCTGAGTCTCTCCTCAACCAGGCCGTGCATACCATCAGTCAGATTGTCAAATTGTATCCAGAAGTGTTTGTTCATTAGTGACTGTCTGTGACGCGATGTGCCTTGTGGAGCAGACCTGCTTGGCTTCCATTTAGCAATGGTAATCATTGAGCCCTCGCAGTACAGAGCTTGTATTGCCAGAAGGTCATTTGCATAGTTGGGATCCGCGCAAAGGACAGTGACTGCATTGCGCCCTCTTTGTTGGTAGGCGACTTTGGGCTCGGTCTCCCTCAGATTTTCTATGCTCTTGAGGCATTCCCGCACTCTTCTTCTCTTTTCTGTTGGAGGAAGGTGTTTGGTCTTTGCCGGAAAGGAGCATACCACATCGTGCGTTTCGTAAAAATCGTCAAGGATTGGGAGGTTTTCTTTGGGGTATTCCCAGACTTCAACTTCCTGTTCGACTCCATTGTCCTTGATTATCTCCTTTCTGACATTGGACTTTGTTTTGGTCTCTTTTACCATTAGATTTAGAACTTCCTGACTGGGGTCTTGCTCGTCTTGCTGAAAGGTCCTTTGGGGAGTGTTCCTCATGCTGGTGGAGGCTGAGGCTGAGGTCGTGCCTGCTTGGGAGGAAGACATCGCCGGTCTGGAGTGATGTTGTTTCCCCTCCGGGGGATCGAGGGATCTGAACCAAGGAAGATGGATGAGTACCCAAGCAAGGTAAAGCTTCGTTGCCCCCCTTTGGGGAGCGTGCGATCGGATCAAAAGTAGCGAGTGGGACTGACGAGATGATTGTGCTAGTCTTTTTTCTATGGCGTGTGAGTTCAGCTGTCGAGGGAAAAAAAAAAAAAAAAAAAAAAAAAAAAGCAGGGCTTCGCCTCCCCTCCTGGGGAACGTGGGGATCAAAACAGAGTGGTCCGCTGTGGTAGACGAAACGACAGAGTAGCTTTTGRCTCCTTCGTGTTAACAGGAATGGACGATGAGCAAAGAGCTATTGTGAGCAACAGTCATTGGATGGTCACTACGCTGTGTGTTGTAGTGAGTTATTGACTGGGGAAACAGCATTACTTATAAGTTATAACGGTTCCTCCCCGTTGGATTCCTATTTTACTTTGGTTCTGTTCTAGTGCCTGGAGATGGGTGTGAGATTGTATCGGCCTCCGAGAGAGTATGAGGCCGACGGAGTCGTGACTTGGAAGGTGACAATCGAATTGGTGTTGCTGGCTAAAACGGTGGATGAGATAGCGTTGGATTTTAATTCGATAATAGTGCTAGATGATGAGGAGTAATCGAGATGCGACTATACCAGTAGGATTTTTTTTTATTTTTTTTTTAATATATAGATATTATTGAAAGTGCGTTAATGGATCTGTGGTGTCTTAATGATAATTATTGTTGATGATGCTGTTGGTCCTTATAATTGTTAATTGTTTTAATACACGATAATGATAGTAATAATGGATTGAATGAATTGACTTGGTTGTTGTAAAAGCAATTACTGTGTCCGAATAATAAGATTAATGGTGAGTGTGAGAGCGATCGGGTAGTGTCTTGTGATGCTAGTAGCTTACGTGCGGGTCCGAGAGGGTGGGGGGAGAGGGGAGGRTTGAAAGAGGGTTGGGTGGAAGGAGAGTGRGGTACTGTTTGGGGTTTGTTGGTGAYGGGAATGTGAGTGATTGCCGCACGGTCTCTGTAATCGGGGTGTGATGAGGTGTTTCGTGGGAGGTGGAGGGGTGTAGAGGGAGGGCTTGGGTCGGGAATGGGGGGTTGGGGAAAGGTGAGGGTGATTGGTGAGAAGGGTCGGGGAGAGGACGGTCTGTAGGATGTTTTGGTGGTAGGTGGATTGTCGATCTGGGGCCGGGGGAAGTTATAGTGGATGCGAAGGGAGGTGGGGTGGGGAATTGCGGTGGGAGGTAAATGGKAGAGCTGCGATTGGGAAAGTGTGTAGTGGTGGGGAAGGGGGTCGTGTCTGTCGAGAGGAGATTTCKGTCGTGGTTTTTGGTAGTTAAAATTTCCTCTGCGGAGAAAAAAGTTTGTCCTAGCTGTCGCTTGTTTCCCTGTGAAGATCGCTGCTCCGAACCTGCAAGGACACCGTTCTGGCTGWTGGTCTCAGATGTGGGCGACGAGAGCTTACCTGACAAGCCTGGGTGTGAAGATCTGAGCTTGTGTTGTGTGGGATTGTTTGCCTGCCTGTTTCTCTGTCGCTTCTCCTTCTACCTATTCGTGAAGCTCCTACCGCCTTTTCTCCTCCCTCTCTCTTCTCTCTTGTCTCTTTCCTCCTTCAGGTCTGGCCACGTCCGGTGGCGTGCCGTGTCGCTTGATCTTGTCTCCTCTTCTCTTTTCGACATGGCGGTCCCTCTTCGATTCTGGATAGGTGTGTGCCTGCCCGCGTGCGGGAAGGAGCTCGAGTAGCCACGCAGGGAGTGGAAACCCTGTCTGACCTCTTGTTTGCAGTCCTATCGGCCTTATTGCTGTCCTCCCGGTTTTACTAATTGTGGACTTCCGATTGCTATGTTTTGTCTCTTCTCTTCTCGACTTCTTCTTGCTTCCTCGCTCTCTTCCCTCGAATGTGTGGAGGAGGTCGACTTCTTTTCGTGTTCTTCTCCCCCTCGCCGTTGTCCTTTTGCAAGATCCTCAATGCCTCCCTTGACTGTACCCCACCTTTGCTATTCTTGCAATCCTGCCACGTCTCCTTCTTGTCTCTTTTGAGGATGGAAATGATGGCTATGGATTCCTTGTCGCCACGCCCGAGGGCGTGGCTTGCTTTACTCCCACTTGGTCGGATTCGAAAATTCGCATGCTGGAATTCGCGCGTTCGGCTTGCTGCGCGTTTCGCGAAGGCGCGCCTGGTAGGGCTCGGCCTTCGCAAAGGGCGGTAGCGTGGTGGCGCCGGACGGTAGCGCTAACCAGCGGCGCTAGCGCAAAAAAAGCTCTTTACCTTCTATCAGGAAGATACGAAAACGAGAACCTCTTCGCCCCACCAACTTGAAAAATCTTTACTGCCAATTTGAAAATGGTCTCCCCTTGAGCCAAATTCAGACGAGTGGTGCAAAAACGCGGCAGCATTGCGTGATATTTGGAGTCTTTTGGACTGCATTTTCATGAACCGGTTTTTCAGATTCACGACCTTGCTGGGTCGAAAGAGTAAATGCGGGGGTCCTCTATTTGGATTTTGGTAGAGGTAGAAATAACCCAGTCACGAGGTCAGCGGTTGCGAGGGGTTCTTTTGAAGCTGTAGCAATTGCGTAAATTTGACATAGTGTAACGTATGAAGGAATGAGGATGTCCCTACCATTTGCTCAGGATGTTCATCTTAGGGGCTATAGTGTGCACTGAAGGCCAACAAGTTGCTAAAACATTGAATCATCTGAATACTGATTATCTTGAACATCTTCTTCTTTGTTCTGGTTTCAGATCGTTGAAGAGTTTTTCCAGAGAGTATGGAACAAAGGCGATATCTACAGAGCAGACTATGAGGGACTGTACTGCGTGAATTGTGAGGAATACAAGGTAAAGGGTTTACCTCTTTGGAATTGGTAACACATTTTAGTATGATTTTACATTCAACCTTTTTTGTTTTTTTTTCCCCTTAACAGGCCCCTTCTATTCTGGGGGGCAACAGTCCTGTTGCTTATCACCGGCAAGCATGAGGAGGGGGGCTGCCCTGCTGGTCAGGAAGCTTACTAGCAGCACCCAGTCACACAGCAGGGCAGCCTCCCAGATGACAGGACACGGGGGGTGCCCCCTAGCAGCTCCTCAGGCCACATAAGCAGTGACAGGCAAACATTTTACGTTCAAATTTGTAAGTCAACAGTATTATTTTTGGTCATGGTACTTAATTTTCATGTCTACTGTAATGACCCGCCAAAACACAGACTGAGAACACTGTGCAAGGAAGATGAGCGATAGCGAACTTCAGAAATCAAACAGCATCATACACATGAGACCAGATAGTCGTGACCTCGAACCAATAACAGAATTGCATCACGAGTTTCACCAAATAGGAGATCACAGCAAAAGCTCATAATTGACAATGCTGGAATAGTCTCATCATCATGAACGAAGAACCAATGTCGATATCCTATCTGGCGCTCGGCGCCCAGACTACCAATGGCAGATCCTATCTAGCCTGGACTACAATGCCGCTGATGACGTCAACAGCTCCCCAAAGTACGAGCAGATCTCGCCAATGCCGCACGCCTCAAGCACCAGGTATGTCTCTCGTATCACTCACAACCTCATTCCCCAACTCACAGATGCCACATGCACCCAAGGACCACCATGCGCCCCATCCAGCATACAGCAGCGCAGCTCGGCTATGGCTGCCTGCTCCTTCCAGCTCGCCCGTGAGCGAGTGAGCGCTGGCCAGCGATAGCGCAGCAGCGCTTGCGCACAATGCAGCCAGTGCCCAAATGTTCAATGCGTAGGCAGGCCCTTCCCTATATCGAAGTGGCCTGCTGCTGCGTGCGGTAATGTGGTACTGGGCCCTGGCCCAGAAGCTTCCGGTAGGCCC